TCTGATTTCAATTTGTGCATGCAATCTAAGAGTGGTGTTGGTTAGAGTGTTGGTTAGAGATCTACATGGAAACATGGATCTCTTAAACGTTTTCGTCACCATCATCATCATCATCATCATCATCATCATCATCATCATCATCATCATCATCATCATCATCATCATCATCATCACCATCATCACCATCACCATAATTTATTTATTCCTATTCTCTCCATGACAACAGAGCCAGGTCGCTGCAACCTCCGCCATGTTGTGAGCACACGTCCTTGACCTAAAATATCAGACGCCATATTTGACCGTTGCCATGGGTCGAAGGAAAGTCGTAACCATCGCATTCCTGATTGGCCTCACCTTAGTCAACATATTGTTAGCCAGGTAATCAGCTCACGGGTTGTGCTTGTCTTTGCTACTGTGATTATACATGGTATGATACACCATCGACACCCTGTAACTCATTTAGGCGACCGGCTGCTCCAACCCTGCTTATTAGGGCAACAGACGGTCAGAAATGCCAGACAAAATAACTCCCCCAGTTGGAACCAAACTCGCTTCTGTAATCTCAACACCATACACACCAGTTTGTCTTTCGTTGTAATTATAAACACCGTCACCCTCTTTCTCTGTCTGTCTGTTTGTCTGTCTGCCTGTCTGTCTGTCTGTCTCTCACTGTCTCGCTCTGTCTCTGTCTCTCTCTCTCTCTCTGTCTCTCTCTCTCTCTCTCTCTCTCTTTCTTTCTCCTTCTGTCTCTCTCTTTCTTTCTCTTTCTGTCTCTCTCTCTTTTAACTCTGTTTGTCTGTCTGTCTGTCTGTCTGTCTGTCTGTCTGTCTGTCTGTCTGTCTGTCTGTCTGTTCTCTCTCTCTCTCTCGCTCTCTCTCTCTCTCTCTCTCTCTCTCTCTCTCTTTCTCCCATGATATCCTACAAGCTAGGTATTGAAACCACTATCAAATCTGAATTAAATGATCCCACACACGTACGCTCTTTCGCTTCTAGAGATCTCTTATGCTCTCTGAATGTATTACCATTTTAGGCACCAGAAGCAAGTGGACACAATAAACTGTCATTTATTTATTGTCGGAAAGAAACAACATAAGGAATGAAAAGATGTCGAACTTACAAGTGGCGCCTTCCAACCATTCGCTTCTTTTGTTTGACTCATGTTGTCTACACCAGAGACTATACGCTGTGCTCCGTGAGCCTCGTCAGTATAGTATACCATGCTGGGCTGCAATAACGATAGTCCAGGTTCGATCTCAGAATGAACGTTTATTTTTTATAATCTTCCAGTTGTTTCTGGACTTTTAACTATATTAAAGTTGTCATCTCACTTGGCGCTGTCTTTTTTTAGAATTCAGCTGAGAAGTTCTGCCTCTGTTCTAATGATAAAGTGCTGAAAGCATCAACAAAAAAGCACAACAAACGTTGTGTTCTTCGCACTGCACCTCTGTAATTATATAGAAATGTTGAGCCCCACACGCCTCTGAACGTTAGGTCTACGTCTCTTTACCTCGCTGTGTAACGAAAGGTTACATAACATTGGGAGCACTCGTCATAGTCTTGTACTCCTGGACAGCTAACTGTCGTAGCTTCCGCTCTTTACCGTCTATAAAAATTGTATTGCTATGTGTGCGCTACATGGACGGCGCCATTACTCCCACATAAAGGGGGGAATACTAGTCTAGTACGGCTATCGGCGGATGCACGCGGCACAGTCGACCCCATTTACCTTTCAAATGACCTAAACTGAGTCAAACAGTGCGAGCCATAGTGAACCGGAAAATTGCGTGTTTGATCTAGGTTATTTTAAAACATAAATCTATGGGAGCGCATAAGGTTGTTAGATATCGCACCATCCCTCGCGAAACCAGGTGAAGCTGAGAACTCAGGTACCGTCTTACCTGAACACGTACATATAGGTCAACGTCACCATCATACTATTACCTCGGCGCTGGCTCCATCTCACCCTATATTAATATCGTTCTAACCATAATTTCTCCCTCTCCTCGTGGTTCATGATTTCAATTTCTCCCCCC